CTTAGCCACTGCAAACCTTGGATTTGATAATGGAGGAATCAATGCAAATGGGAAAGGGAACTTGATCCACAATGATGTAAATGTTAACTGGCAACATGTTTTGGCGCACAACCTGAGGTAAGTGTATACAGTATATTTTCTGCTTCTTGGGTGTTGAATTGATTTGGATTTATTTTCACTGCTAAATCTGTGTAGCAGTAAAAATATATTCTAAGACTATATTTCCAATGAGTTACTTGTGTCTTCAACAAAACTTTTAGATATTAAATCTCAAGAAAGCTACCATGACATACTGTAGGCAGTCTGGTTGGTGTTATGAACATATATGTAATGCTGCTGCCCTTGATTGAACAAGATAAATATTGATTTATTGTATTATAAGTAAACCTGTTCTGTGTTTCAGGATGAAACGCCAAACCCCTCTGCCTGATTCAATGTAAGTCTTAGTCAACAATTTTCTGCATATTTCAGCACTCATAAGTGTTTGCACCAAACAAATGCAACATAGGAGATACTTCCTTAACCGTTTTTCTGTTTTAAAGGGAGTCTCGTCATACTCTCAATGTGGACATCAACAGCCGAACATTTACTGATGTGAGCTTCCGGTATGCTTCCCGCAAAGATGGCATCACTGCATCCATGTCTTCACCATCAACTGGCTTCCTTGGATTGCATTTTCAGCGAAAGTCTCCATCACAACTGTATGGAAAACTGTTCAGTCGCTACCTGGTAAATCTTTCATTTGCATATTGTTGTCAAAATCCCAAATTGTTTTAAATCTACAGATGGATTGATTGTATATGCTGTGCAAGCTTTAATTGTGAATCTTCTCATTTTTTCCTCCAACTTCAGTCTACTCCTGAAAAGGATACTGATGTTTTCACTGCCAAAGCCACATTGAGAAACTCTCAGAAGTTAATCTTACAGATGTCATGGAATCTGGACTTCCTCCACAATGCTATTGAGGGGACCAAGGACAGGATTCCTGCTATGAACAATGCTGTACTCAACATCATTAACAAGTATCACACTGCCCACTTTGGCTTTGACCTCAACCGAGGCAGCATGAAGCTGAAAAACTCAGTTTCCAACGCCATTGAGAGAGCCTACAATGAGGTCCCTATGTCTCTTAACTCACTGCAGCGTTCAGTCAAACACCTTGGGGAGTCAATAAATGTGCAGGATGTTGTAGACAAACTAGCTCATGAGACTAAAGAAGTTTTGAAACATGTCGATAGACAGATAATTGCCTTGCAAATTGAAGTCAAAGAGTTGATGAATGCCACAAAGTTTACAATGCCTGGATCTGAAGAGAAGCTCTCAACATTAGATATGTTTGATCATGCTCATCGGTCTGTATCAAGAGCCACTGACAGGGCAATGCAAAGATTTGCCAGCCTCATGGAGAAGGTTTCTAGATTAATCAAGGGGATTGAGTTCACCATACCTGGAACCAAGTTTATTGTCAATGGAAATGAGATCATGGAGAAATTGGAGTTTACTACAAGATCTGCATATGATCAGCTAAGAGAGTCACTGCACAGGGCGTTCAGTTTGCTTCACGAAACTGTTAATAGCCTCTTTCAAGTAATTGCTGAAAAAACAGAGAATTTCCGTACCTACCTGAAAGAGGAAAATGTTGAAATTGCTTCTCAAGTTGATGCTGTCTATGGAGAGGTTCTGAAATCTTCGAAACACCACATTGAGAAGGCAAGGAGAAAGATGGCTAACTACAAAGACCTTACCAAACTAAAGATTCAAGAGGCTTATGATGCTTTAAATATGGAAAGTGCAAATAACAATACCGTGGAGTTTATCTCTATTTTGCAGTCACATTTCTATGGAGGACTTAATGAGGGTTTAGACTTAATGAGAAGGGCATCACAGAGCACAGCACCCTACATTAGAGTGACCAACAAAAAGACTGACATTGAAATTCCCTTACCCTTCCGTTGGAAGTCTTTCAGCAGCTGGCCAACGCAATCCAGTCCGTGGATTTCTTCATAAAGGCTAACCACATTTATGTCCTTGTAAAAAAAATATTTTTTGTACATCGCCAATAAATATTAACTTGAAGGTCCAGTGTGTAAGATTTAGGTGAAAGGGATCTATTGGCAGAAATTTAACGTAGAATAATCATCATGATATTTTCACTCATACTCATCTAAAGTGTATGAATTGTAGTTTTCTGTAGCCCAGAAAAGGTCCTTTATATTTAAATATTTTATATTTACATCGAGGGGACGCTCTCTACGGAGACCGCCATGTTTTTACAGTATTCCAGACTGGACAAACTAAACACCTTTTGAGTTTTTATGACAACTGAAGCTGCCACAGTTTCTTTTTCATGTTTGGAAGGAGAGGGTGAGGTCAGGGGCGTTCAGCTGCAACATGCAATTTCAACACTAGATATCACAAAATTCTACACACTGTACCTCTAAAGGAATTTTAGTTCAGTGAAATAGTTTAGTGAAATATACGCAAATTATTCTTAAGTGATATTGCTTTCAACTTGACAATTTCTACAGTTATGCCCAATTAATGTTTAGCATGGATTGAAAGATAATGTTTGATGATGGTGGTCAGTTGAACACTAATAAAAACAAATGTTTGCATTTCTCACTGTGGCTTAATATTTATGTAAGTAGCAAATGCATTTGTCTTGAAGACAGTAGTAAAACATTTAACCAACTGTACAACATTTCCACATCACTCATTCAAAGTAAATGTTCAAGTTCAAGTCAATCAATCAATCACACTTTATTTATATAGCACTTTTCATAAAACAAACTGGAACACAAAATGCTTCACATAAAAAACGACCACACCAGTACACACACACACAAAACAGTGGCTCAATCGATCACTAAGAGAGTAAAACACGAACTGAGGAAAGCTGTACCACTTCCCATTCAAGAGGTCCCCCCATGCCCCAATGGACCATATAACCTCTGTGGGTCTTTATATGTATAATACCCACCAGTCAGCTGGAACTAAAGAACAATACACAGAACAGCATAGATTTTTTTTTTTTTACTTCAATAGCCATGACACACAAGGTTGGATTACATACTCAGCAAAGGGCAATGGTTAATTGTCCCAGTCCTACGATTGACCCCAACAGCTCCACGTCCACTGTATGTATATGAGAGCTACAGTTGCTGGAGACTATTAAGATTAAGATTTATTTGCTAATAGTAAAAATTATTTTAAAAAATGTGATTTGTAAACCTTTACATAAGGGTTAGTTAGTTGAACAATATTTCGTTTTTTAAAAGAACAACATGATTGGGGAAAGCATTTGATAAACTTGACCTCTTTCTGAACTCCTATGAATACATTGTGATATTGCACACAGTTGAGTATAATGAACAAAAGAAAGACAAGTCTCTAGGGTTATGTATGTTCCTCCCAGGACATGAAGGAAGTCATCCATTCCATCTGTTTTTAACTAAAGAAGATCATATTGCAGCTCAACAATGTTGTTTGCAAGAATTTATGCTTGTTTTATGAGTGAAAGGGACCATAACAGTTAGTTTGCAAAAGGTATTATAACACAATCTGTATTCTGCTTGTTTTACCAGCTAACGTCATTATGAGCCACTGTGAATTTAAACCATGCATTTTAATGAACTGAAGTATAGACCTCTTTACAGTACAGAGTTCTTTGTCATGTTAGGTGCAGACAGTCATCACTGGGATGGGACCATGACTAAGCCCAGATGAAACAATAGACTTACTGTACACTATCACTACATGTCACATAAATGGGCCTTGTCCCACAACCACTCATAAAAAAAAACAAATCAGTCAAGATTCAAAACCTTAACCCTCCTAGACTCAATACTTAGCACACCCAGATTGCTTAGTCTCTCATCAGTTATAGTGGACCTGAGGTAAGTTTTCACCAGCTTCAGTGTAGAAAAACTCAGCTCACAAGAAGCAATCCTCACTGGGATTGTGACTACTATTTTGTAGAGTCTGAAGAGCTCACAAACCACTTCTTTGTATGGCTCAATGAACAGTACCAGCTGTCTCTGCATCCCAGTCTGTATTTCCCTTTCCAAGATCCTTGCTTTTAGTCAGCCGGATCAGCAGCGAGTCACGGTGCACTGCTCTAAGAAATCCGACTAAAACAGTGGTGTCAAACTCAATCACAGAGAAAATTAAAAACTGTTTATTTATTAAACAGGATAAACAGGATATTGGATAATGTGCAAAATGGAAACATATTTAGGTCGGCTACATTCTTCTTTTGTTCTTCATTTCTTTTCTTTTCTTTATTTATTTTAGCCAGTTCATTAATGTTTGGGGTTAGGTTCTTTGCTGTGGAAACCCTCAAGATGCAGTGAAGGTGTGCATCACTGAGACGACTCCTGCCTGGGTTTTTGTTCATCTTCATCACAGAGAAAAGCGTGTGGGTGAACAGACAGCAGCACACAGGCACTGGGATCTCTTGAAGACTACACATTACAACCCTTGTCTCCAGTTAGATATGGAAAAATTTGATGAAATAATGGATTAAGTGCGGTTACCAGTGGTGTGGAGATTTTAATGCTCATAATCCTTTATGGGGCAGCAAATGTAAAGACACAAATGGCTCATTTCTAGGAGATGTTTTAGATAAGCATTTACCGTCCATGAAACCTGTCAATAAAATAACCATGCCTCGAACTGATGAAATCAAATTGACAAGGTTAAGGCTTGGTCATTGCGGACTAGCAAGTGGGATGGTGCTTGTGAGAAAACACAGAGATGGTAACTGTGACAACTGTGGAGTCCTGGAGTCTGTCCAACATATTTTGATGTATTGTTCACTCTATGTCAAAGAAAGGATAAAGCTATTGATAGAAATAGGCAAATTGGGTATTGCAACCTTTTCTATAAAAACACTACTTGGAGATTGGATGTACAAGAAGGAGAGAGAAGTCTTGCATTTCCTTAAAACTACAAACTTATATCGCAAGATATAAACTGAGGACATAAACTGCAGTGATGGTTCTTTACCTGTGGGAGGCAGCAATGCACTAAATGGTGCCTAGTCTGCCGGAGAGAGAACAGAAGAAGACGACCACTATCTGACCAATCAAAATCCAGCAAGTCAGAAATCAGGAAGTCCTCGCACACGGATCAAACCGGAGACACCAGTCATTGAGGATTTTCACCAATATTTACAGGTAAAACGTTTGTTATCGAACATTACACATGTCAGACAGTGACAGAGAAACAGCTACTGGGATTCGACCTAACGTCGTTCAGTATATTGTCATTAACTCATTGAATATACTGTCAGTGTTACTCCCAGACCAAACTGTATTTAAAATATCATCAATTGAACACAGTAGCAAACTAGACCTCAGTATATTTTACTGAACAACTGTTGTTTAATTCGGCGTAAATGATCCAGCAGTAATGATATCCGTTATCTTGAAATGCCAACTTGTCATTTGCTAGCCTTCTGGTGTGTTTCTAGAATTACTGGAATGCATTGCCGAGAGGAGCCCGTAAACGCACCAATCCCTTTTTCTGTTGTTTATTATCAAATGGGCTTTTATACACACACACACACACACACACACACACACCAAACAACCATTACAATGACACATTCATACATGAAAAATAAAACAATCTAACAAACCAGGCACCATCAGTTCAATTACTTTGTGTGTGTATTTAAATATTTAAATGGAAAAGATGTAGCTACAGCAAGCAATAATTATATTGCTTGCTTTAGCTATATCTGAAAATAAGTTTTGTTTGGGATGTCCAGGTTGAGAGGATATATATTTTGCAAAGTGAGTGAGTACTTTTTAAATACCATTTCCTTTCCTGAGATAAAATATTATTTAAATATCAAAGTGTTTTCGGTAAAAAGGAGTGTTCCACTGAAAGTCAAAGCAAAAAATCTGTTAAATTGTCCTATGAATTTTCCCAGGAAGAGTTAATAGCTGTACAATTCTAAAACATATGGAGAAATATTGCTTTTCTCTCTGAGAGGAGGAACTATTTAACCAATAAAGGAGGGCAAATACAATGTCTAATCATTGTCTTTGAAAGTAATATTAGCTGCAGTAGGGGAGTTCACTTTGTTGTACAGGTGTACCCACACTTTATCACTAAAAACACTATTGGTTGGTTTATTTTCAAGGGGAACAAGCATAACAGACAGTCAGTTATCAACATAAAGTCCACAGAGGGCAAGCCTTGTCAGTCGCACCTCAGTTCAAAAGTCAGTTTCACACATTAGTGTAACTTGGTCTCACTTTGAAACCCTGACAAACGCATCACCTGTGGACACTGCTGACAAACTGCAGTTGTTACTAAAGGCTGCTGTATAAGAATGTGTTCATACATAATTACAACAGCACCTCTTTATTAGATCTGATAAAATGTATTCACCATGTAGGTGATGATTGAAGCTCCTTAACAGTGCATTAACATGTGACTTTTAAAGTTAACTGATCAGATGTCCATTGGCTTTCAGATTTTTCCCTTCTTTGTATTCAAGCTGATGAGATGGAAAACATGGTGACAGACAGCAGGGATCAACCACAGACCGACTTCCTCTACTGCTGTGGAGCTAACACGGAGGTCCTTAAATTTGGCTCCTGTCACTTACATTCTGGACACAAACTCCTATTTCTTGTTATTCCAGGTGAGTCAGACCAATATTTAGTGATAATGATCATATATGCCTCATTGTGACCAGTTGTGTTATGTTTCGTTTTGGAACTGGACCTGAAAGCAGACACAGAAAGGGATTGGTTTGTGAGTGAAACAAGTGTCTCCTTTATAAAGCGCTGATGCAGGCAGTTAGCAAGCTGGTGGCGGGTTGAGACAGAGCAGGTTATCCTGTGAGCTGAGATAGGCAGGCAGGTTGGCTTTGGCGATCCTGGGGCGTAGGAGGAAAAAGGGAGCAATAGAAGATGGTACTGGGAACATACAAAATAGCTTTCTACTTAAAAGTTTAAATCGGCCGAGCTTGTGTAAGGCTTCGCATGAGGTGATTGAAACCAGGTGTGGAACTCATGCCAGGGCTGCCACGCTCACACTCACACATGCACACACAGGGGAGGAGGAGAATAGGAGGGGAGCAGAGAGAAAAAGGGAAAACAGGAGAGGAGCGGCCTGAGCTGTGACAAGTTGTTTGCTAACTGTTTAAGCAACCTGTCATTCATCCATTATGCCATAACACTACGTGTAAAAGTGCCTTGCAGTTGAGTGATGTACATATAATAGGTAAACAAAAAAAAAATACTGACAATGAAATACCATAAATAATTATAGAGATAAGAGTAGATATAGAGTATGATTTGATTAGCTTTGAAAATGTGTCTGACAGAGTTACTGTCATTGATAAATTTGAACTATTGGTCTTGAAGGTGCACTTTTCTATTTTCATTTTTAAAACCAGATTATCATATATCTAAGAATGAAAATGTTAGAATTACATGAATGTGTCCGCTCTGTCATATTTTTGTGTAATGCTGCATCACTGAGCGCCTGCAGCTTCATAAGAGAGATCCAGAGGCGTGTGTTAGTAACAACATGTAGCTGTTACCAGTTCCCATTGAGAATGAAGTTGAAAAAAGGTTTAAATAAGCCACATGTTTTTGCTG